CCATCACGACACAATACAACAGCGCCTTGGACCTAGGACAAAGAAAACAGAGAAAAGAATCAGAAAGAGAAAAGACCTGATATCGTCACACATCCAGCTACCCAGTAATCCAACTCCCAAAATCCAACTTCATCAACAATCGATCCACACCCCCTACCCTCGCAGGAACATACCCCATATGCTCCTCTCCCTCCCCCTCCTCCGGCTCCGCAAGCGCCTGTCCATCCCATTCAGCCAAAAAGGAAGGATCTGATTCCAGCACCCGGAGTGCGTGAACGGCATCCTGAATCCCGTTCTTGACTTTGTGGTGCAGTGTGTGGAGCGACTCAAGGAGCTGGCCTTGCTCGCGGTCTCGGTCAGAGGAGCTGGTCGTGTCGAGGACGCCGGCGTCGTGGTGGAGGTCCGAGGACGTGAAGAGGGAGTGTAGACGGTGAAGGTGGGTTGCTAGGTGGTCGATGTGTGTGAGGAGGGCGTAGAGGGGTTGCGTGAAGGAGGGCTGGGTGAGGAGGAGGCGGTGGGTGAGGGTGCGGAGGTAGAGGGTATGGGCTGTGGAGAGCGTTTCGGGGTCGTGCGATGATGAGGCGGAGGGAGCGAGCGTTGGTTTATTGAAGGTTGGGGTGATGGGGTCAGAAGAGGGCGCAAATCGGGAGCGAGAGCGGGAGCGGGATTGAGATTGCGAGCGGGAGGCGGAGGCAGAGTGTTGAGATTCCTTGAGTGGTGGTGGGAGGAGCCACGTGTGGAAGTGATCCCAGAGACCGGCGACGATTTCCGTCTGAAAAAAGGCTTCTGTCTCGCCGAGGAAGAAGATGGCTGCGCTGGCCGTGGTCCACGAGCTGCGGAGGAGCCAGGCACGGTCGGACCAGCGCTCGCGAAGCGTGACGGCGTAATCCGAGGTACCGCGTGGAGAAGGATAGTGGCGTCGGAGTGATGTGATCTTCCATAGGTCCGTAAGACGGATGTGTGCTCGGCGGAGTGATAGAAGATAGGAGTTAATGGACGAGTAGAGCTGCAGGTCCGACGCCGAGATGACCATGTCGAGCGGCGAGGGGAGGTCGATGCTCAGCATGGCCGGCACGCCAAACAGCATGTTGCGAAACGGAGACGCGGCCACATGGCTTGCCGCTTCCATATCTAGCCCTCTGCCCGTGGCCAGAGCAGCCGGCGGCCTGGCCTTGGTCAGATGAAGCTGTATCAAGCTCCTGGCCAGGTCTAGCTGGTCGTCTTCTTCGGCGTGCTGGCCCTGCATGGACACGAGAACCGCCCACGTCCGGTTTAGCACGGCAGCCACTTCCCCATCCTTGACCGTCACGTTTTTGACATTTTGATCACCGTTGTCGTGCGCCAGATGAGAAGGATGATGTCCTGTCCCGGTAACCGCCCTTCGCCACCGGTTGCGAATCTTCTCATCCGCCTCGTGTGTCAGCGCCATGGCGAACTCGCCCCGTCCGAGGAGGAAGAATTCCCGGAGCAGATGCATCATTTCCGATACCTTGGCCAGTGGCAGCATCTGCTGCAGAGTGGTTTCAGATAAAGACGTGCGGATAGCCTTGATTGCCTTGGAAAAATCAGTGCTTTCAAGCGGCAGAGACAGCGTGGACAGCTCAGACAGTTTGGCGGCAACGTGAGCAACCCCCGTAGACGTGGAGCTCGTGTTGATGGATCGAACGTGGTGAAGGGATTTTCCAATAAAGAGCATAGACGATGCCGTCGCGCCCGTGACAAAAGAAGGTAGACATTCTGCCACGCAGGCATAGTCACGGTCGTTCGGGGCACCCTGTATCGTCGTCATCTGTACGAAGAAGTCGTCGGCTCCGAAGCTAGGGAGTCTCCCATACAGCACCCATGCCGAAACCTGCTTCAGCCACGCCGTCTCGGCTGCCTTGACCAGACTCTCTGCCGTAGCCGCCACGTCCTGATATCCGCTCTGCAGCTCGTCCCGCAAGCGATCAATCAGTGCAGCGCCGCGGCAAGCCCGCCCCTCTCCGTCCCTCGCCATGATGAAACGCACCGTATCCCATAGCCACTCCAACCGTCTAGTCCATTGCTGGAACTCGCTCATGACGGCCGTCAGGGGCACAATGTTGTAGGCGCCCACCAAGCCCGCATCGTTCCTCAACACGCTCGCCTCCACGTCTAGCACCTTGCGCTGAAAGGCAGCTAGGTGAACGGAGCTAATGGCCGTACAGACAGCTCTGCAGATCGTACTGGGATGAGAGGTGGCCGTCTCGGAAGAGTAGGCGATGAGCTTTGTGTGTAGATGACTTATGTGGCCGGCGGAAGAGAGCAGTTGCCGTTCGGGCGGACTGATTCCTGCGAGGGCGTCTGCCTCGGGCGAGCTTGGCGGGCGTAGGAGAGGCGACGGATGGCCGGAGAGGGATAGGAGGATTTCGTGGAGCATCGCGTGTTGCTTCGTGCCGCCTTTCGGCGCTTGATTGCGTCTTGTATGTCGTGGGAAATAAGAATGATGGCCCCGAGAAGCTCGAACCGACACATGGGACGCGCAGCTGCGATTTTTGTGGGAGGCTGACGGCGCCCTAGGGCACGAATTTTGAGTGAGGAGTTGATTGAAAGTCGGAATACTTCGTGATCTGCAACGGCGAGCTTGAGATGGGGAGGTGTAGCCGCCGTAATTATGGCCAGCAGCGGGAATTGAAGATGACGTGACGTGAGGTGACGTCGGGAAGTCGTGAGGTGACGCGTGTGGAGTTGAGGGGATTCGCCAACGCGAAGGCGAACGCGCAGACACGTGATCTGCATGAAACTCCATACTCCGGCAATCTGATAAGTATTTACAATCTTTTCTTATGTATACATATCTATTCTCCTGCAATGCACCGCCCCCGCAGCATTACACGGCTGAGGGCTCTTGACCATCGACTCGTTTATTATGAGTACTCCGTCCCTACATGCACCGTCTCCAGCAGACGTCCCTTCGTGCCTGCAGGCAATCCGCATATCCTCACCCCATTATGACCATGAGTCGTCTTCCTAGGCTTTGCCTTTGCCACTGCCTTCTGCCACCCCGGATCCCGCTTTGTCCGTTTTTTCTCCGCCACCGACAATGACCTTGCCGCCACCCTTGACATTTCCCACCACCATTCCCTTAGCCACGCTCTTCAAGACTGCGCGTCGAGAAACGCCCGTCACATCAATGTAGACGAGGCCAACATTCTTGACGCCACCGCCGAGATTGCGAGACACCTCACCGGCTTCAGGGCCCCATTTGTGTTCAACGACATGGCTGACGCTAGATGAGGTACTGGTGAGCAAGCTGCGTCCGGCTTGTTCCATACCATCCACGACGGTGTTGAACGCCATGAAACTCTTGTTGAGCATTCCTGGCTTGTATGTGTCGATGGGCTTGCCGTCCTTGTCGAAGCCACGCGCACGACCATCCTTTCGCTTAGATAGGTTGGCGCCGAAGTTTTGCGCAACCTTGGAGATTGACCCGACAGTGGACGCGGACAAACCTGCAGCCTTGGTGGAAAAGTGGTTGATCCTGCGGATGTGCGCGTGAGTCGTAGGCGTGAATGTGACAGGCTTTGTGTTGGGCTGGGTATTCTTGGCGTAGTTTTCAGCCTGGCTGCTGAGGGTATGCGCGACATAATCCGACGTCGTTATGAGAAGACGAGACGCTCGCATTCCCATATTGACGATCGTGGACTTCTTGTAGGCTGGATGCACCCTGTCGTCCTCGTCGTCATCACCGTATCCCGATACGGGCTGAACCGTGATGGCCTGTGACGCATCGGTGGGCAGTGCGATTTCGACAGGATCTGTCCCGCGAGTCCGCGACTGGATTAGCAAGACGTAGAGGAACACACTAGTCAAGGACGTTGAGTGAATGTCACAAACCTTTGGATCCGGGCTTTATGGCCGTATCTTCCACCACCTGAAACCCGTCGCCTAGCTCCCCAACGACACTGCCGTCTTCCTCGTCCACCAGAACAATGCGGCCTCCTTTAGAGGCTGAGCTCACGCTGCCATGAGCATAGCCCTCGCCTGTCGCGAAGCTGGCAGGGTCATACGCCGGTGGCTCATCACCAGTAGATTCTTTTGCCTTGGCAGAAGACGCCGGAACGGATGATGACTTGCTCCCCGAGGGCCCGGGGGCCGTGGCGCGTTCCAGAAAAGCAGTGCATTGCGCCAGAATGGTCTCGAAAGTATCGACGTCTTCTTGGATACCAGCGCGAGAGCCAATGGCTGGGAATTCAATTCGTGTGAATGCGCCGCTGTCGGGCCCGAGATCCCAGCGAGGAATCAGGTAGCTCGTCGGGGGTTGATGGTAGATCTGTGTCGTGGCGGGGAGAGGCAGATCAAGCTCGGGTGGCAAATGTAAATGCAGATAGAAGTCTTGCGGACCCGATGCAGGGCCAGAGGGGTCAGAAAAGCCAGACGATGTTGATACCATTAGCAACGATAAGGTCTCGGGCCCGAGTGGGTTGAGTGCTTGTTCATTGCCTTGGGCAATGTGATAGGCCTTGATCCCCTCGACAGCGTAGAGGAGCTTCGGATCCTGCAGAGAAGATTCGGTTCAGCATTGGGGGATTGGCGGAGGGAAGCTATTGCAGGGGCTGGGGTATCGCCTACATTGCTTTCTGAAGCCATAGTGAAGAGAGTGAAGAGTCAAGAAGACGTGCTTGCGAGCTACACGACGAGCACAAGAGGAACTGTGATGCAGTCGGGGCGGATCTGGATATCTTCTGTCGTGCTGTTGCGCCAGCCAAGCTACCTGTACATATGTATGTACATACTACGGAGTATATTCCTCCTACTAATAGGTAGGAGGTACATGTATGTAGGTACATAAGTGGCTGCAGGTGCGGGGAAGCGGCTATGACGACGCAGATTACCTCTATCGTACATATCTAACCCCTGTCTGGCGGGAAACAAGCTTTCTTTGCCAGAAGCAAGGAGCTTGTAAAAAGCTTGCTCGAATCCTCCATCCAGTCAAAAACAAGTAAATATATACAGTATTTATCTCGTCTACTCACATCATCGGGCGAATGGTTTAGTGGTATAATACTCCCTTAGCATATATCAGTCAACTGACATGACATCTGGGAGTGGTCCGGGGTTCGATTCCCCGTTTGTCCACGATAGAAACAACACTTTCATAGTGTACGTTGCTTTTTGTATCGTCAAGCAAAAGGTTTGACCTAGGGAAATACATAAGATTTCCGTTGTCACGTGAATTTTTGTCACTGGCTTGAACTTGTAAAACAGATCAACGTCGGGGTAACTCACCAACTCCACAAGTAACGCCCGAAATCAATCAAAGAGAGGGCCGCGCAGAAACAACCATCCAGCACTCTCCAAACACGCGAGGGTTGACTTACCTGTCCCATCAATGTTCTCCGGCTTCTCAATTGCCCCTACGTCGTCCATATGGATATGGAAATGGACATTGTGGGAGGGAGTGTGATGGTCTGGCTTTGCTCAGTCCTCAGCAACACAGGCGTCAATTGTACGGGGTCCAGAAACTTGTACAATGCGTATTCTTTCTTTGTCTTCCATGGCGCAATGGAATTGGGCATGTCACCCAGACGGCGGCGCAGACACTCGCGAATAGCTCTTGGAGCTAGGCCATCATAGGGAGGCTGAATATTCCCCTTTACAGTCAGGTCTTTCGGCGCATTCTCTGTAGTGCGGATGGCCAGTGGGCGTCGACCATGAAGAGGAAAGAGCTGCAAAACATGTGGTTGACGACCCTTCGTAGGTACTTGACTCTTTTGGGCACGCTTTCTACTGTTTGGGAGCCTCACCATTCACGATTCGGCCGCGCGTACGAAAAGTCAATCGTCGTCTTCCATCAACCGTCCGTTGTCGCCGCTGCACCCCCAAGTTCCATTATCCGGTTGCGGTTTGCATGCGGTCCATTCTGTTCGTGTATCTCGAGGGATGGGCGGTTTACTCTAGAGTTCTCGCGTATGCTTGCGTGTGATCCGATTTGTATTTCAACGCATTAGGTACGTGTTTTCTGCATAGAATCTAATGAAAGCTACAATCAGACATTGGAAGACATCGTAAGGTTTCTTGCGCACGTCAGCAGGCCAGTACAGAAGCACCAGAAAGCATGGTCTGTGACGATCATTTGAACGCGATGCCGTCGTGTCAGTACCGCAATCATCTTGAATGAAGAGGCCAGGCAAGTCGAGAACCTAAGAGGGTGGAACGACGTCGAAGAGGATTCTGGAATTGGGAGCTGGCCGGACTTGACTGAGCGGTCGCAGATGGACGCTTTTGCCTTCGTCTCGTCATTGTATGCCTGCCGCGCAACTCAAGGTCGAGATTCTTTGACTGGCCAGGTGTTTTCGAATCTCGAACGACACTCCGGTACGAAATCGATGCATGTTGGACTCGTGAGCTACTAGCGCACAGACTTCCAGGTCTTCGTCGCCACATGCAAACGGGAGTTGAATACTCCCAGCCCTCAAGCGTCAGATGGGGGCTGATGAGAAAGCTACGCTAGCAACGGTCCTGTTCCATAGCAAGCATCTTGAAAGCAACTGAGACGAAGTCATGCAGGTGTCTGGTGGACTGCCTTCCCGATGAAAACAAGTGGCAATTGAATCTCGTCAGACAGTTGCCGTAGACCGAGCAGCTCTACAGGCAAATCCGATGGAGCCTGCTGAAACCGATAATGTGGTCGGCCATTATCACTACAGGTCTGAGGTTGAGGCCAAGCTGTCATGAGGTAGTGACTGGGGGGTTGATCAGGTATGGTCAGAGCTACCACTGACCAGAAGAACTCCGCCAGTATAGACAGTAGACTGGCATCTGAGTATACCGGAAGGTCATCTTTTCTTGACGTACTTGCGTACTGACGTTGGCAATCGCAGGACAATATTTTTTTGGGTAATGGCGGCTGATCGGCAACATACACGTTGGCTCTTTAGATAAGCGTCAACAGAAAAGGAATGACTCGGCTCTCCGACCGCAAAGAATGTGGGAGGTCCAAGGATACCTGATTCTGGGCCCGCCAACAGACTGAGGCATGAGGACTCGTTCACGCCGCACGGCAATGCGGCAGCGCAAGCAGGAGTACAACTTCGCCGTCATAGGCCACCACAGATCAATAATGATACGGATGCTTTTATATGACAGCTTCCTGCAGCTTCCCGCCAAGTTGGACACTACATCTCGCTCGGTCAGAGACTCTCCTTCTCCGCTTCTGTGATAAGAGCGACCCAGGCCACGGTAGGGGTCGTGATATGTATGCTGGAGGGCTCAGGGAGGTGACGCAGAAAGACGACTTTTCGGCTGCCAGCTTATCATATATCATTTACTTCATCAAAACAATGCTGATACGGATGCCTTACTACACTACGACTCGAACTTCCCTGGCTTCGTCATCTTTCTTTTCACCTGCGTTATCCTCCTTGCACAGCATGCAACACCATGTACCATCCCCCGAGGGTCAAAGCTGAGGCCGTGATAAGGACTGTCCCATTATTCCCGATAGCAAGCTTTGCCTCACTGCTTTTGACCCTCGGAGATCAAGAGGGCGACTGGACTATTGGCTATCCGAGCGGCCCAGAACAAGAGGCCGGACAGCATGGCAAGGGCCCCGCGACTTAGTTCCTGGATCAAGAAGCGTGCCCCTGGGTTGCTCTCGATAATATCGCAAGTATATTGGGAGAATCACATGGGTGGCGGGCCAGCAAAGTTGTACAGTGCTGTTGGAAGACAGCGTGGGGTTTTGGACGTATGCGCCCTACACTCGCAATGCTCGATCGCAGAAATGCAGTCTAGCCGAGACTATTCATGCACAAATTACAATGGTGCATGGGTGAGAGATGTAACAAAGGTCCTCGGTCTGATGGCGCAGGAGCTCTCAGCCACGAATCACACACACCAAATTTGATGCCACGAGGGATGCGTGAGTCACAGTTGACGTCCTCAGTTAGCATACTCCATCCCGTGCCTTTACGACAACCAGGAGAACAAAGCGGATTTATGGTTACCCGGAGCCAGGAACAACATCAACGGTGTAGCACCGCCAAGCTGGTCCCCTCACGTTCGGTTGACTCGGCTATGCATGGAGGCGGTGGCTGATGGCCGTCCACTTGACCAATCGACTGGAGGAGGGGTCGTGCTTGAATGCTGTGCGTCTGTCGCGTCTTGCGAGTTCAATCACGAGGTCTCCCTGATAATGGGGCTGACATGCAAGAGGCCGAGAGACAGATCAAATATGCGGCAAAGGATGGGCGATCAAATGAGCCGGAATAAGGACAAAATTCGGCTTTCTCGATCAATGAAGGCACCGTTGTACATGCCCGCGACTTTGTGCCAGTTTCGCGGTACTTCCGTTAACGACCATGTTAATACAGACTCATGTCTCACAACATTGCACGAAACACAGCACAAGCCGAGCTAAATACAAACGGGTTATCCTAGCCATGTCGCAATTCCGTTGACAAAGCAGAGAGGCAGGACAGGCCAATGAGAACCATCATGGTCACACGTCGCACACGTGTTTGTACTGCTTGTAGACCGAAGCGACCAAAGCGACAAGAACAGCACTCTTGTCAACCGGTGCCAACTTTAACAAGGTTTCGCCCGAGTATGTGTTGCGGGATAACACTACGACTCGTGAACCTGTCCAGTCAAAAGAGGCATACGCGGGAGGGCTTTGGGTTACTCACCTCAGAGGCTCAGATCCCGTCGTGCATTTCTTGCTTCCATGCAATAAGTTATCAATCAGTATTGCAATGTCACATCGAGGCAATGTACTCCATGTCCCAGTCTGTCCTCTATTTCTCAGTGCTGCGTCATTCTTTTCCAGTCGCAATCCAAATCTCACTCTTAGGACTGACATATCAGCCGCATACAGATCCAGTTGCATCCAAACGTTACATTGTGGTAGGTGATAGAATATCAAGAAGCGACTTGGGGGATCCCTCTCCTCGCATTGGCATCATGTTTACTGGAAGCATGAGGCCAGAAGGGTGTGCCGGTCAATATCAGTGCTGCCTTTTTTTTTACCGCGTTTGCTCTCTTTTTTGCTTCGTCATTTTTTCTCGGGGTCATTCCCGTGTTTCCGATAGCTTGCATTTACGCGCGAGAATCATATCCGCCCTTGTGTCTACTTTATGCGGCGTACAGCAAGCTCTCATTCCGGGTCACGACTTATACACACTTCTCTCTCGTTAGTGCCTAATAGCCAATGGATAAGGCACGAGGGCGATCACAAAGCAGGAGCAGGACTGTCTTGACTGAGTTGAAGCAGTTGATTCGCTGGACTTTGAGGCTTGCTCTTGGTCGGACTCTATGAGACGAATATGATGGACATACGTGAGGCGTGCATGATCCGCCGTTTATGTGGCAGATTGGGCAAGAAACATGCCATAATGGAGGTCCGAGGGTTGATTTACGCGCCACGGCTGAATCATGGGTTGTGATCTCCCAGAGGTGCCTCGCGTATATGATATATCGCGAAACGAAGTGGAATGATGATGTGCAAGTCAAGCATCACCACTGAGCTGGCACGGAGCTCCCACCGTGAGAATAGCCAGACTGCTCCTCGGCTTTGGGAGTGAATGACGTCTCGGATTCCTGACTATTATGTCCTTTATGTGGCCACTGGTATGTATATAAACCACTCGCCATCTCCAACATTGAGAACAAAAGATTGCTATCACTCCTCTTCATCACTCTTACTTTCTTGACTATCACGAGTACTATTGTACTCAACTCTTGCTCATACTTGGCTTCACCATTCCACTCTAAGACTTTACCTTGCCCTTCCCGTTCCGGGTTGTTATTCATTTCTACTCATTTTTCTTCTTTTTTACAAGAAGAACCATGGGTTCCCCACAAAAGCCGTTCTGGAACTATCCAGTCGAGAAAGTCAAAGACTGCATCACTGTCAGGACGGTCCCCGATCCTGTTCCAACGACATCAACCTCAGCTGCTGCTTTGCAATCTTCGACCCCAGCTGCTGCTCTGCCATCTTCGACCCCAGCGGCTGCTCTGCCATCTTCGACCCCAGCGGCTGCTCTGCCATCTTCGACCCCAGCTGCTGCTCGAACTGCCCTGCCATCTTCGGCCCCAGCTGCTGCCCGAACTCCCCTGCCATCTTCGGCCCCAGCTGC